GTTGGGGCCGGCTACCAGTTCTTTGCAGGGTGCCTGACGGTCGCGGGACGGGTGGTGACGACGGCGGCTGAACTGGAGCTCCACGGCATCACCAACGTGACGACGGTTGCTGTGTGCGGTGAGTGCACGAAGGACGGCGACTGCTTTGCCCCGCTGACGACGGCTGTCAGCGGCTGCAATTGCCAGTGCGCTGCTGGAGGGCATGGCGATGTGTGCGTCCCGGCGCCTGTGCCTGCTGGCCCTCCGCCGCCGCCACTGCCCACGCCGCCGCCCACGCCGCCACTGCCCACTTTGCCGATTGGTGAGTGCATCAGCGACATGGTGTACCCCGAGGTGGCGCAGGCAGTGGGCGGCGGGCTGTCGTGGCTGTGCTACCGCAACGTGACGTTCAGCGGGGGCGGCATGAGCCTGACGGTGCTGATTGGCGCGATGACGGGCGACGTGGCAAACGTCACGTTCGATGGATGCACGTGGAGGGACGGCGCCGTGCTGTTGCTCTTGGGCAATGCGTACGCTGCTGTGGGGTCACTGAACATCGTCGTCACCGGCAACACGTTTATTGACGCGCTGCTCAGCCCGGAGGGTGTGTTCCCACCGCACACGAACATCACCATAAGTGGGAATCGCTTTACGGTCACGAGGCTGATCCCTAGGTCTGGTTTGGACCTTAGGGGACCGTCGTGTGTTGCGATGAATGATCTGGTGATTACCAACGACTCCGCGGTGGTGCTCAGCGGCAATGTGTTTCAGACCGTGAGGGCATTGTCAAGCGCCATCCGCGTTCTCAGATCTGCGCTGAGGGTGTCGTGGCACTCCGTGTTTGCGGTGGTGGGCAACGCGTTTCATATGTACGGCGGTAACGGTACCTTGATATATCTTGAGGGGTCTAGCCAATCCTCATCGCTGAATGTAATTAACAACTCTGCCGTGGTGATTCGAGGCAACGTTGTGACGAGTCCAGTGAGGCGCTTCATGTCACTTTTCTCGTCAACCCATGTAGAGTCCCAGTCAGCGGTTGTGTTTCAGGGCAACGACATGCAGGGAAGCTCGGTTGTGTTTTTCCCAGGCTACTCCTCCAACATCTACTACAACTCCTGGCTGCAGTTGAGCGGCAACCTCTGCCATGAATCCCCATCGGAAGCTTTTGCCTACATATACCCCAGGTTGAATCTCCGCGACTCCACGGTCTCTGTTTCCGGCAACCAATTCATGTCCAGCACGGTTACGCCGAGAGTGCTGTGGATAATTTCAGGGTCTGACGACCTCACAAACGGCGTGGTTGTGGTTGCGTGCAACACCGTGAACGGCGAGGAGGGGGTGAGATACAGCATCCCATCCGCGTACAATGCCACCATTCTGACCTGCAGCGACCCATGCACCCTTGCGGCGTCGTGCTTCCCCGCGTACACGACGACGGCGTCGAGTGATGGCTGCGCCTGCACGTGCGCTGAGGGCGGCCACGGCGATGCGTGCCTGCCCGTTGCTGTCCCCGAGCCACCGAGTACCGACGGCGCCGACTTGTGCGTGCGGGACGTGCGTGTGGATGTGGAGGTGAACGTCGGTCTTGGGACGTCGGTGGCGTGCTACGTTGGTGTGACCTTTGCGGCGGACGTCGTGGTGGACGTGGAGTTGATGTCAGGGAGCGTGCGCAACGTGACGCTGGCGAACTGCACTTTTTTGGACGGAGCGAGCCTGTACGTTGTCGGGTGGCGGTCCGACCCGCCTGCTGGCCAGTGTGCTGTTGTGTTGATCAGCGGGCTTGAGTCGCGCTCCGGCGGCGGCGTGGTGGTGGCGAACCGATACCCGCCGGGCTCGCGCGTCACTGTGGTGGACTCGGTGCTGATTGCGGAGGCGCGTGTTGCGTACCGCGGCGCCTACGACCTTGGTGACGCGTCCGCGTGCCTCGTGTTACACAACGTGAATCTGACGGGGAGCGTGCTGAACGTCGCGCGCACGCAATTGGCGGCGGTGTTCCGCGACGCTGTTGGCGTGTTGGTGGTTGGCGGCGTGGCGCTGTCGTCGCGCGGTGCGCTGTACGTGGACGGGCTTTTTGTGCAGACGGCGCTGGGGCTGTGCGTGTCTGTGGAGGGCGGTGTTGCGGCAATTGGCGGCTCTGTTGCGGCGTTTGTTGACAGCCACTTCCTGCTGTGCAAGCACGCGGTGTCTGTGCGTGGGGCTGTGAGCGTGTCGGGCTCCGCTGTGGTACTTGTGCGGAGCGACTTTGTGTCGACGGGGGACTACGCGGTGGCGTTTTATTCGACGGTGAGCCTGGCCGGCGGGTCGATGCTGCTTGCGAAGGGCAACGTGCACGACGGCGTCTCGAGGGAGATGCTCTACGCCGCTGGTGCCGTGAACGCTGCTGGGAGCACGCTGAGCTTTGTGCGCAACCGAGCACTGTTGCCGCGGATGCTGTCGCTGAGCCTGTCGCTTGTGGCTGGGGCGCATTTGAGGGTGGCGTGCAACGACGCTGGTGGAATTGTCCTGTCGACGGCGGAGGAGTACGCAGCGGCTGGTTTTGGCGACGCTGGGAGGATTGACGTTGTTGGGTGTGACGCCTGCGACAGGGACACGCACTGCTACGCTTCCGGGACGGCGTCGGCGAGCATGAGGAGCGGTGTGTGCGTGTGCGTGTGCGGCAGCGGCGGGTACGGCGAGGCGTGCGTGCCTGTGGGTACTCCCGTGCTGCCGCCTGCTGCGGGCACTGCGTCGAGCGTGTTTGTCCGCGAGGGCGTGACGGTGCGGTCGGTGTTCGTTGTGCCTGCCGGCGTGAGCGAGGTAACGCTGCGCCACGTTGTGCTGGACGGCGTGAGTCCTGTGCTGTACGTGCCGTGGATGGCGCGGGACGGCGTGCGGATCGTTGTGCAGAACGTGTCTCTGCAGAATGGCGCCGTGCTGTACGTGATGGGCGGTGGGGCGTTGCGCGGTGCGGGAGCGGCGGGGAGCGACGAGAGCGGTCCGGTGGAGCTGTCGGTGTGCGATGTGGAGGCGCTGAACGGTGCGCTTGTGCTGACCGGCACGTTTCCCGCGGGGTCCGTGCTGACGGTGACCGACTCCCTGCTGGTTGCCGCGAGGTTGACGCCGCTTGTGTATCTTCCCGGCTTGCAGTCTTCACCGCACGCACCGCTGCTGGTGCTGTCGGGCCTGCGGCTCGTGCGGTCCGTGCTGGTTGTGTCCGGCGTGGCCCTCGTGACCGTGATGACTGGTGGGCGGACGGTGGTGGTGGACGGCGCCGTGCTGGAGCTTGTCGGTGGCGGTGTCGCGCTGGACGCGGATGTGTTCGGTGGCGACTATGCGTTGTACGCGAGTGCGCGCGTGGTTGCGTCGGGGGGCGCTGTGCTGCGCGTGTCGGGGAGCCAGGTGTACGCCGCGCATGGATTGGTGTTTGACGGCGGGGTGGTGGCCAACGCGTCCGCCGTCGTAGTGAACGACAACGCCGGTGCGCTGACCGGTGGCGCGCTGCTGGTGCTGCGGGGGTCGGCGTTGTTTGTGTCCGGGTCGTGGCTGTCGGTGCGCGGCAACAGCATCAGCGGCAGGCTCCTGTCGCTGCCGTCGTACCCGCGCAGTGCGGAATTTGTGCAGAGCACGCTGACGCTCCACGGGAACGCTGGCAGCGGGGCCGTCGTGATGGACGGCACCGTTGCGCTTGGGGGCGCCAGTCGAAGGTTCGTCGTGGGGTGCCTGGCGCTCAACGGGCAGGCGCTGGAGCCGATGGACTACAGGTCTGCCGGCATTATCGGGGAATTCCGTCCTGTGGCGTGTGGCATGTGCGACGCCGACGTGCACTGCTTTGCAGCAGCGACGAGGGCGATGTCGGGGTCGTGCCGCTGCCGCTGTGCTGAGGGCGGGTACGGGCGCGACTGCCTGCCGGTGTACCTGCCGCACGTGGACGGGTGCAACCGCACTCCCGGCATGCCGCTGCTGAGCCACACGGCAACGCTGACGGAGACGCACAGCCTGACGCCAACGTGGACGCCGAGCCTGAGCACGGCGCACTACAGTCCGACGCAGCACGGGCCGACGGAGACACTGCAGGTGACGC